GGGGTTTTTCCTGGGACCCCCAAAAGGTTTTAAACCCCCCCAACAAATTAAAAACTGCCCCCCGATGATGAACGGAAAACGAAAATTTGGGGTAGTTATCCCCTACTTGTAGATGGGGGCTTGAACTTTCTGTGTCCTTCTTCCTTACACAAAAACTTGTTTTTACCGAAAACCCAAGTCTTGTTTTGTTATTACTTTTCCCCTGAAAATTGTCGTGGAGATGACCTCTCACACCAAAATTGGGGCCCATTGTCCCATTTACACTCGCTTTATGGTTATGGAATTTTTGGGGGAAAAGGTGGGTTAGCAAAACCTTAAAATTAACTTCTGGGAAAACCCGAAATTATTTGGGAAAAGAGAAAAAGGGCTTCTGGTGTCATTTTTAAAAAAATTGCAGCTCAGCCGAAATCAAAGGGCCAAAAAACGCCCTCTTTTTTAGTGTGCTTTTGGGGACTTCACTTCCTTAGACTAAAAAATGCAAGATGGCTCATGAAAGAAACCGTCATGGGAAAATTCCTTTTTAAATACAGTGCAAAGGGTTTTTAAATAAAAAAATCTCTCGGAGTCCCCAAAATTTTCAATTTTATTGGGTAGATTTGATACCATTATCTCGTTTTTTTTAGTTAGGATAAAAGTCTCCCCTTAAAGCGGAGATGGTTTAGATGATTTTTTTTGTAAATTTGTTTCCCCGGGGGCAAGATAGTTTCCCGAAAATGCTATACGGGAAGGCCCAAATTTGGGTTTTTCCCGTATCACAAGTTTCAAAAGGCCCAATGTGACCGATATTAAATGGAAAAACTATACAAATCCAAACAAATGAAAGTTAAAAACAAGTTAATCTAAACCCTCCCGTGAAAAAAGGTTTTGTGGTTCTATGCACGAAAGAAAAAAATTTACCTAGACAAAATTGTACCAGTGAAGATTTTCTCAAATTTTCGGGACCCAGTCTGGGAAATTTTATTACTAGAAAAAATGTATGGGAGACAAAAACATTTTTTTTGGCAAGTTTTTTTTTCATTTGTTTGATTTTGTTTAAACAAAAAAAGGAAAACGAAGTCCCGAATGAAAATTAAATTTTTCTTTTATTAACATATGGTCCGAAAAATAATAAACGCCCCTTTTTTATCAGCATCATTTAATCAATGGGAAAATGGGCCAAAAAGCCCGTTAAAAGGGGGGACTAACATTAGTAAATGTTTAAAAAGGGCCTATTTATAATGATAATGTTATGTTTGAGTTAAAGAACAATTTTGTGACAAAAATGTTCGCAAAATTTAACAGAAACACCCCGGGGCTCTTTTTAGCATTTTACTAAAAGCCCGGAAATAATACAACCCGGGAAAAGTTTTCTGTGGATTTGGGCGTTAAAAAATGTGGTTTTTACCAACCAGATCTTTTATTTTATTTAAATATCCAAAAAAGTTTAAAAAGGAGGGCATTCCCTTGGGCATTCTTTCGGGGAAAAACAAGCCCCCCTCACGCAGAAAAAACCCTTTTCAACAAAGCCCCCGACCCCAGCCCAAATTTAAAAAGACGTGCAAAAAACCCCAAAACAACTACATCATGGAAATTAAAATTTATACTGTGATACATTTTTCCCTTGTTCATACCCTTTATATTGGGGGGAATCTCATTTTTTGTTGTCATTGGTTTAAATTTTCCCGGAATTTTTTGTATTGTTCAGGAGAGGGTAGGACCGACTTAGAAGTAAACTAATTTAACCCCGATTAAGTTTCCAAATTTTAATGTTTTAGGGAAATATAATTTCAAAATAAATCTAGATTATTATTTTAAATACAAGACTTTTTTTTGTTGGTTTTTTTTTAAATCTTACAGGACTGGAGCAGACGCTTGCAGAAATCATGATCACAAAAAGACAAAAAGTTTTTTTCGCCACTCCTACTTTTTCATTCTTTTCATACAAAAATTGGAAAAAATTAAAAATTTTTAAATTCTTCCTTTGGTTGGGGTGCCCCCCAAAAATGGGACGGGGCATATAATCAAAACCCTTATTTATCTAAATTAAACGACCGCAGAAACCCGAAAAAATATTAAAGTTTAAAACATTTTAGATTTTTTAAACATACGACAAGTAGACTTATCATTTATTCAAATTTTTCACTCATTGTTTTAAAATTATACTCGATTTTATTTCAAAAAAAGATTTGATTATTGTTTTAAATGATTGAGACATAAAATCTTTTTAAAATTTGCATATTTTTTTTGGAAAATAGCAAAACCTTTTTTATTGATTACTCAAATGTCTTCTCCTTTTCATCATAAAAAGATAAAAATGTGAAAAAATTTACAAATGTAATTATTGGTTTTCTTTTTATAAGCACGTGTGTTCAAATGTTTATAGAAAAGACTGAAATAGGGATAAACAGTTAAAATTTGTACCATTTTAACACTAACTTTGTTTTCCAAATGACAAATAAAAGAAATGGTCCCTAACCCATCTTAAGATTATTTTATGCTTTAAAAGGTGATTTTCTTACGAGGGCACAAAAGCCTGAACAAAAAATGATCCCGTTATATAGGGGGAACAACCCCAATTTTTTGGCAAAAAACTTCAAAGGGATCACCCCCCCTTTTTTTTTCTTGATCACAAGACTGACATACACTTTTTAAAAGAAAAGCAAAACCAAGTCACAAAAAATCGCGGGACATAAATTTTCATTTTCTTTATAAAAAATAGGCTATTTTTTAAATTGTTTTTATCTTAATAAAAACCCCCATTTTCATCCCAAACACCGAATATCAATTGAAACTTTCGGTTTTTCCCTGCACTTTTTTTCAGCCCAAACCCTGGCCATGTTCATTGGAACTCCGGACCATATTATCTAAAAAACTATTTATTAAAACCCAAAAAGAGTCAACCTATATAATTTTCTAAAATTTTAAATGTATTATTTCTTTTAAAATAATAAGTTATTTACATTTATATTAAAACGTTTCTGTTTTGATTATGATCACCAATGTGATATTAAAGAGATAACACAAATATCGTTGTTAGATTTATTTTTAAAATAAGTAAAGTAAAAAGTACGCATGTAAAAAAAAATTGTATAGCACATGGCCGACACATTAAATTATTTACTTGTGATCAAAAAACCACAAAAAACTCTTTTTATATTTACGGATAAATCTTTTGGGATAGGGAAAACTATAGCGGTTTATCCTTTATATTTAGATCACATGATAGGACATTTAGCATTTAATTGTTGGAAAAAAGATTAAGCACGCTATTTTTAAAAAACGTTTTTCCCAAACCCAAAGTTCAAATCCCTTTTTATTTGTTGTTGCCCGTTAAACACTTAATAATAAATCGATATAAATTTTTTTCTAAACGTATGTTGATTGGGTACAAAATCAACATAATTCCTTTAAGTCAATCAAATTTTACACCAAATCATTAAACCTTTCAGTTGGGGTTTTTGTTTGAGGATTTCCAATTGAAAATTTTATTATAACAACAACAAAGCTTTTGTTATTCCGCAGAAACTAAGGGGTTTATTAAAATATGAAGTACATATAGCTCTCGACTTTAAGTGATTTGTGTTGTATTTCTTTCCGTATAAATGCATTGTTGATTTTTTAAGTCACAGAAACAAATTTAAGTTCGGATACAATTAAACATACGTATATTATAAACCTTTAAATTTTGCAAAACCATTTCAATAAGCTTACAGATGTTAAAAGTTTTTCATGTAAGTATAACTAGTTTTTATGTACTTATCATTATAAAAATCATCAGTATAATCACTAGTAGCATCATCAAATCATTATCACAACCATCATCAGAAAGATAATAATTATCACCTCTATCATCATAATCATCATCAGTTTATTCATCATCAATTTAATAATTGTCATAACATCCATCATCAAAAAAATTTATTATCATCAAAATCACAAGTATCATCGCTTATAACTTTAACAGTATTACATCGAGAAATATGAATATGTTGAGTCCACTTGCTTTATATTATTCGAATAGATTATGATGATAATGTACTATATATGATGATTATGATGATAATTTACTGATTATGGTGATTTACTGGTGATGGTTATGATGATGGTTGTCATAATGATGATCTACAGATGATTATGCCGTATTTTGTTGATGATAACGATTGAGATGATGAGGAGGAGGAGCAGGATAGTGATGATGATGATGTTAAAAAAATAAAACATGTATGTATATACGTAAAATGAAAAAAATTGCATAAATTTGGGAGCTTGATCGTAAAAACAATTTCGGCGAGGTATATTCATTGAGAGCTTTATGCCGTGTAGACAATGAATATAAATTTATTTTCTCTAAAAATAGCTTAAAGCAACATGCTTCCAAATGAGCAAAACTATTTCAATAAATACACACTTGCGTAAAAAAACTGAGAGTTTAGGAAAAGTAGAAAGATTCAAAATTCGAGTAATATGTTACATGTCATAAGCAATTAATGTTTTTTTTTGTTTTTTTTTTTTTCATTATGTGTGGTAATGTGTAAATTGCTTCCTTTGATTAATATACAAAATCATTTTTAAATAACTTTTTCAAATTTTTCATGAAAATAAGCCTTAAAGTGACATTATGCTCATATTTTCATAGTCAAGTTGAGCTGAATTGACTATATATTTCAAAAGATTGACTGTCAAAATGGTGATTGACCAACAGTTGATACTGGAAAATGTTAAGGATAAAATTATAAATCTGCCGAAAATTAAAAAAGACTGCCCCACTCTTTTTATAAACTAAGCATTATAATTATTATGTAAATTCTTATAAATGGATATTTGCAGAAATTTGGATCTGTGCGTTACTTATTGTTTATGCGAACTTACTTATTGAATTAAAAGATATTATGGCAAAATGAAAACTTTTTTGATCTTTACCCTTTCACTCACTATATACTCTTGGATGTACATAATGTCACTTTAACCTGGAGGCGTGCTGCTTTAACGTTTGTCAACCAATCAACAATCACCTTGACAGCCTGCTTCAACGATGACTAATATTGGGAAACCAAAGTTGATGATGCGGACACAAAATGTCGGTCGGTCTTTTAATCATTATACCTTTTTAATATCAAGAAATAACGTTCGGGTAAGTAGCCATTTACTTTACATTAAATACCTTTTGTATGTGCTGATATTTATAGTACAGTTTGTCTTGATTTTATTACGTATAAACTTAATAATTTATAAATGCAATGATGCATAAATTATCAAGTTTAACTATGAATTTCGTCAATATTTTGTTTGTTACTGATTACTGATGCGAAATGTATCCATAATAAAAGGGATACGGTCACTATCTTTATTTATATAGTTGGCAGTTTGGTTTAAAAGTACGATAATCGCCTTTTAAACGTGCAAGATATAAATAGTTATATATAAATAGCTATATTTGTAATTTTGGAAAACCAACTTTCTATTAATTTAGATCACCGTAACCGGTGCGCGGAGTTTGCGCTCAAAGTTATTTTTTTTTTACTATTTATTTGGTTTATTTTGTTTTATTATTATTATCATTATTATTTTTGTTGTTGTTGTTGTTGTTTATGTTTTCAGACTGAAAATGCGAAAGTTATCTATTCAATGGATCGCATAAACTAGCTGTTACAATTAATTGTTGTCTCCCTGGACGCCTCATACATGTACAGATCGGTCAGATGTGGTCGTTTACTGGTATAATACAATCTACATGTAATTACAAGATGCAAGAAACTATGTGCTCAGTTTGCAGATGTATGTTGGTTTATTGCAATATACTGATAAATTACAGTAGTGCTTCTACATTTCATTTTTTTTAAGAGTTTGAAATTGTGTTGTGCGCTAGATGCACAGTAACAGATGAGAAAATGGGTAACAAACAAATAAAATCTACTGAAATGCAAAGGAATGACTTAAATTTATATTTTTCGCACGTTTTAGAAACAAAGCTACGATTTCATAGATCAGACCAAGAAGTTCATGATATCCAAACTGCTGTAAATGTTATGGTAGAAAGAATAGCATGTACACTCGGCAAACAACATGGACATTTGAAGATATTAAGAGTGGTAAGTGTAGGCAGTATGAGAGAAGGTACGAAAATACGGGAGCCAGACGAATTTGATTTTATTCTAGTTCTTGAACATCTTTCTAGACCCGGGGCCATAGATGTCGTTGGGGAAAACGAACATGGGAGTGGATATAAGCACGTGATCGTCAAGGATGAAACATTAAGATCACAATGGAGTCATTGCTTAAATAATAATTTAATTAAAGGTACAATGGGTTCAGGAATCTCGTATTTCTTTTATTGGATGTTCGGCTATGATGTCGGCTTAAGGCAGGAGTTTTATAAACAATTAAAAAACGTACTTGCCACTGTTATGAAAAATGAGGGAACGTGCGTCATGGAGTCTGGAGTGTTAAGTCTTAGAAAGGCGTCCTTGGTACGACACGGACCAGCTTTTACGGTGGCATTCCGTTGGAAGCCGATTGATGAACAGAGTAAAGACTTGAAAATCTGCGTTGATCTTACCCCTGCTATACAGCTCGAACTATCGGAGGAAATATTAGAGGAATCTCAGGTCTATGACCAGCGATTTTATCAAGCATTGAAAAACACAAATAGGTATATGATTGTCCCATGTAATAGGGCGGCCTCATGCTGGGATGGACTCTGCTTCCGGTTGACTTTTACTGAAACAGAGGTTCAGTTATTGAGTACAAATAAATACGAATATATAAGTAACTGTCCACGTTTTCAAGACTACACATGGTTATTCTCCGACTCTGTTCTTTCGCATCACATTCGTTGTTACAAAGTGATGAAATATATTTTTGGAAGTGACAGTCCAATACAAGATAGAGGTGTTTAAATCATATACATTGAAGACCTTCCTTTTAAAACATATGTGTGAATGTACAAGAAAGGACGATATTGCAGCGTGTGTGATGGACTTATCGAATGACAGTATAAATGCAATGAGCGACATTCGTGGAAATATGTTACATATATCACATATGTTTATAACAGAACTCAATATCGTTCACAAGAAAAGGCTAAGCTCGCCGGCAAAATATTTCAAACAAGCTATCAAAAATATGATAACGTCCCTTGTTGGAATAGGGAAAGCGAACGACTACAAAACAGGACAAGTCAGGAAAGTAAATAGAACAATCCGACAATTTCAGTCACAGCCTACACCTGGAATCATGCCTATAACAATGAAGTAAATATCGTCATAGCACACAGCCTACACCTGGAATGATCATGCCTATAACAATGAAGTAAATATGGTTATAGCACACAGCCTATCATGCCTACATCAATGAAGAAAATATCGTTATAGCACAAAGCCTACACCTGGAATGATCATGCCTATAACAATGAAGTAAATATGGTTATAGCACACAGCCTATCATGCCTACATCAATGAAGAAAATATCGTTATAGCACACAGCCTACACCTGGAATGATCATGCCTATAACAATGAAGTAAATATGGTTATAGCACACAGCCTATCATGCCTACATCAATGAAGTAAATATCGTTATAGCACAAAGCCTACACCTGGACTGATCATGCCTATACAATGAAGTAAATATGTTTATAGCACACAGCCTATCATGCCTACATCAATGAAGAAAATATCGTTAATAGCACACAGCCTACACCTGGAATGATCATGCCTATAACAATGAAGTAAATATGGTTATAGCACACAGCCTATCATGCCTAACATCAATGAAGTAATATCGTTATAGCACAAAGCCTACACTGGAATGATCATGCCTATAACAATGAAGTAAATATGGTTATAGCACACAGCCTATCATGCCTACATCAAATGAAGAAAATATCGTTATAGCAGCAAAGCCTACACCTGGAATGACCATGCTATAACAATGAAGTAAATATGTGGTTATAGCACACAGCCTATCATGCCTAAACATCAATGAAGAAAATATCGTTATAGCACACAGCCTACACCTGGAATGATCATGCCTACAACAATGAAGTAAATATGGTTATAGCACACAGCCTATCATGCCTACATCAATGAAGTAAATATCGTTATAGCACAAAGCCTACACCTGGAATGATCATGCCTATAACAATGAAGTAAATATGGTTATAGCACACAGCCTACACCTGGAATGATCATGCCTATAACAATGAAGTACATGTATATATGGTTATAGCACACAGCTTATCATGCCTATAACAATGAAGTAAATATGGTTAAAGTTTGATCAAATTAGCATAATAAATGAAAAAGTTATGGAGCGGACACGAATTTAACCTTTGACCTTCAAGTGTCCCGCTACCAACTATTTTGATGTTTGTTGTCCGTTCCACTGTATTAAATTGTAGTAATTGTCCAACAACATTGACCTGGCACTCTTGCATTTGACCTGTATATAGTCGGTATATTCCGTAAACGTTACGATTTACTTGTAAATCGCTATAAATGTAAATATCCAATTGTTAAAATGGTGTAAATGAAAATTCCCTCTTAAGCGCAGTTGGTAAAGAGTTTTCGCTTGCAGACGTAGACTGGAAGGTTCGAATCCTATTTCAGCGATTTATTTTTATTTTAAATTTTGAAATTGCCATTCTCTTTAAACTATTGAAAACCTTTTTATTGTGTGTACTATCTATGCAGATTTTTTTAATAACTACATTTAAAAAGCATGTATGCGCTTAAGCATATACGATTGTATAATGTCACAAAAAGAACGTTAAAAGATACTGAAATGAAATAAAAGACAAAATAAAAGACAATTGTGCAGAAAAAACAACCACCTAAAAGATATTCTAAAAACCAGGTGTAATAAAACGATTTCATATTAAATTCTTGCAATTTAATTTTAAAAAAATTATAACGTGGTGTTGGTTAGATATCGAACCAGAGACCTTCAGATCGGTAGTTCGACATCTATACCAATACACCAAACCTCACTGACGAGGGGAAGTTAGCAAAAATATCGATATATTCGATAGGTAATAGTCAATGTTTATTCATATGACCTTTCCGAAAATTAATGAAGTGCCAGGTCAATATTGTTGGACAATAATAAGACACATCACGCAGTAACGGATATGAATTCACGCGGCTTATATTTATTTTCATTTTGTTACCGATATAACCTATGTTAATGCGATATATGTATTTGTGAAAGGTAGTTTTGTTACAAATATAAATGGAAACCAATCGGTCAATGTGCCTGATCTGATTTGACTTTTCTACCAAGTGCGACATTTAGCGTCAAGGGGTTGCGACATTTAGCGGCAATCGATTTTTGTGCGACATATAGCGGCAACGTTGCGACATTTAGCGGTAGACGATTGCGACATATAGCGTTGATTGCGACATATAGCGTAAGCGTTGCGACATTTAGCGTTAGTTGCGACATATAGCGGCGTTGCGACATATAGCGTTGCAACAGCGCCCCTAAAATCTGTGTATACATGCTGTCAATAGCAGTTACCTAGACTTGCTGTCTATATGCTCAAAAGCAGAGGACTATTTTTATGTACATGAAATACTACACAGAATATTTTTTGTAAGTTTTGTAAGTGATGGCTTTCTAAGAGATAAAATAAACAAGGTACATGTATACATAAATTGATAATCAACATACTACTTTTTGGACTCTTTTTAAAAATTTTTATTAAAAACAAAGGGTTAAAAAGGGGAAAAAATTAATCATTTAAAATTTTTTATACAGTAGGGGAAAAAAATAAAAAGTTTGTACAAAAGGGTCCCAAACAATTTTGGTTTAAATAATTTTACAAATTTTTAAAAAATTTTTTTTCTAAATTAAGGGTTTCTAATAAAAAAGGGTAAATTACAAAATGGGCCCAGAAACGCCAAAATTTGGGTATGTATTGAAAATTTGTCGTATCAAAAATCTCAAATCAGATTTTTGATTTAAAATTTAAAATTGGGTAAGGTAGAGTTTTAACTGAAAATGAAACTCTTTCCTATAAAAATTGGAATACCCTCAGTAAAATTTATTTGTCGTTGAATATAGTGTTATCAATAGTTTTTACTTCCTTGAAAAATATCTAACCTCAGACAGTAATTAGCCTGGTGTGTGTGTGTGTGTATTTTTTTTAGTTTTTGTTTTTTTTTTAGTTTCTCTTTCTAGGAAATGTGGTATCTACAACGTTTTAAAATTTATAGACCTTTTTGCAATACGATTTTTCCTTAGCAACCGATGTTGCATTTCGCGCATGCGCATTTTGCGTAGAGCAAAAGCGCGATAACGATAAATACATTTAGCGTACTTGGAGGCTAGCCTGGGTTACCTGCCCTTACCATTTTATTATCTTGTGCAGAGTACGCTGGGAACCAGATTAACTTGGAGGCTATAACAGACGTGATTATAAGTTATGTCACCCAGAAAACAGAAATTTTGTGATGAATTAAAGCGGTATGTACTTCAAACGTGAATTGATATTTATAACAGATATACAAAGTTAGCGGCCCTAATAATTCAATGACCAAAAGTCCTGTTCAATGTATCATACAATGACTTTTTCATCAGTAATTTAAATTGAAACAGATACAATTTTATTACCCATGTATTAATAAGAGAAAGAGCATCGAAACACGAGGCTATCTGATTTGTACGAGGGGGAGTAGCGCCCGAGTATTAATCAGATTGCCGAGTGTTTTTTGTTTTCTTTTTTTAATGCGTTTATTTAAGGTCGCCGCCTGAAAGCCCATATGGGCGACCGTACACTCAAGTTGGGCCATCCTAGAGCGTCCCGCCGAGATTGTTTCGTCGATTATTTCCAGCTTTATTGGTGCAGGAAGACCCAAGGTGCCCTAGGGCATTATTTCAGACACGAGCCGGCACCTGGGTAGAACCACCGACCTTCCGTAAGCCAGCTGGATGGCTTTCTCACATGAAAGATTTCGACCCGAGTGACGATCGAACCTACAGCGGTGAGGGACCTGTGAACCTACAGCGGTGAGGGACCTGTGATCTCAAGTCAGGGACCTTAACCACTCGGCCACGGAGGCCCCTTGCCGAGTGTTTTGATGTTCTTTCTCTTTTGTATCATAGTCATGTCACAATCTGAAACCGTGGGAAAAAAAGTAACCAATGAACGAGCATCTAAATATGATATTTCTGTCGCTTTCCCTTTCTCTTTCGTCACAATAAATAAACCAAAGCAAAATTGAGCCAATCAATGGACATGCTCTGGAGTGCGGATAACTAATACAGTAAACTCCGCTTATAGCTAACTCATTGGGACATTCAAAATTTGTTCATTATATCCGAAGTTCCTTCTAAGCATATAGCGACAATCGCAACTACTCGGATGTCCGTGAAGTACGCGGGCTAACGGGCTAGCAGTCTAGCGGGCTAACAGTATGAACTGAGCAGGCTAGCAGTCTAGCGGGCTAACAGTGTGAACTGGGCGGGCTAACAGCCTAGCGGGCTAACAGTGTGAACTGGGCGGGCTGGCGGGCCAGCGGGTTAAAATCTAAAACTTTATTGATTGAACATAAAAACGTTATGATACATTACCTGGCAGTGTGAAGTGGGCGGGCTAACAGTGTAGCGGACTAGCAGTGTGAACTGGCGGGCCTGGCGGGCCAACGGGCCAAAATCTAAAACTTTATTGATTGAACATAAAAACGTTATGATACATTACCCTGGCAGTGTGAAGTGGGCGGGGTAGCAGTATAGCGGGCTAAAGCAGTGTGAACTGGGCGGCTGGCGGGCCAGCGGGGCTAAAATCTAAAACTTTATTGATTGAACATAATAACATTATGATTCATTACTGGCAGTGTGAAGTGGGCGGGCTAGCAGTTGTAAGCGGGCTAGCAGTGTGAACTGGGCGGGCTGGCGGGCCAGCGGGCTAAAAATCTAAAACTTTATTGATTGAACATAAAAATGTTATGATACATTACCTGGCAGCGTGAAGTGGGCGGGCTAGCAGTGTAGCGGGCTAGCAGTGT